AATTTATGGGTTTTTGCAATTTTTGTCTTGTGAAATAGGGATATTTCCTTAAATTTACAGGATTGAAAAAATATTCAATTTCCATCGTCCTTATTACATTCTCGGCGATTGAATTTATGAATTAAATCACGGGATCCCGGGTAAATTTCAAAAATTGTATTCCCCGTAAATTTGTTTGATTTTCTGGAGGATTTAGACCCCTGGGTGGAGGCTGAAACTGCCTGGAGAAAAATCTCCTAGCGATTTTATCCACACACTTCCCTTTTCCTCGACGAGACACCCCAGTGTCGGTTTTAATGCAGAAAAACCGGGCTATCACAACACTTCTCCTGCGGTATGTGTCCTCGAGGCAAAGCCCACAGATTTTTTTTCTTCCTATTTACAAGTGGGAGAGCACATGCATGCGCAATTTTTTAAGCCGCAGTGAATGTGTAACGCGAGGGAGTCAGCGTTATGAAGATGACGATGAAAGAAACGGAGAAAATTCCATCACCGTGATGATGTTTTTCCAGTGAAAAATCGATATTAATTATGCCGCACTTCCAGATGAGCAGTGTAACGAGCGATTTAATCCGCATGGGAAGGAAAAAATTATAAATATCAAAATTAAATTCCGAGATATTCCTAGAGAACTAAAAAAAAATTTTAAAATTCCCATCAGTCTGAACTTATTCTAATTTACTAAAATCAGGCCTTTCAGGTCTTTACAGTTAAAAAACATAAATGAAATATTATTTTAACAGGAATAATAATATAATTTATACCATTACATAAAATGGAAAGATTGAAATGCAGAAAATGGTGTATATTCACTTGCTGCATAAAACCGGAGTGCCTTAATGGATCAAAAAAGTGGAAATGAAAAATCGTATGACTTTTCAGATTATTCGCAGAGCAGAAGCTCTCGGGAACATTGTTGTTTATTTATCCCGGATATCGAGCTGATGTCAGCAGAAATTCCGTGCTCCTCGTATTTTCGTATATCTTCCGACAATAATTCCCGGTGTCTCATCAGTCTCACGTTAATTCCCAACAAGATATTCATTTTTACGAATTCATCCAGAAAAAAAATTGCTGACACTCGATCAATAGACGAACTCAGCTGACAACCACCTGAAAATGAATTTATAAAAGGATATGTACAGGGTACACGCGTTAAATTAACTCTGACCATGAAAATTTAGTTTGCAGGACGAAACCCCATCGAGGGGCCAATTCACTTTGATGGCGTTTGGTTTCGATGAATAATTATTGCAATCGGATGAGAATTCTGAGTATCAATTTAACCGCTGAAACTCGAATTAGGTTTTCGATACTCTCTGATACCCTCTGATTGGATTTTCAATCAATTCATCTGGCTATCTGGGGATTAATCGAGAAGAGGGCGATTGCCGATATAGATTGGAGCAGATTGGACGAGAGGACTCCAGAGAGGGAAGAGGTACTTTGGAAAAGAAGATCAACTTGATCCAGCCGAGATTTCGCGGAATATCCCCGAATCTAGGAGAGCTAGTGAAATTTTACCCGGGACTTCATTTGTAGAGCAGAATGAGAGCTAGAAAAAAGTCCCAACATAAACTCCGCTATCTCTTTCAACTCCAGAGATATTCCAGAAAAAAATCTCGAGTATTAACTCAATCGACTTCTTCCTTTTTAGCTGTTGCTCTCGGGTTGATGGTCATTGTTTTATCCACTGGGGATGCCAACAATTAAGTAATCAGCCAACGAATGTGGAAATTCGGGGAAAGAAGAAATTCATTGACGAGAACAGGAGAAACCTCGAGGAGTTGGCGTTACATGCGACCGAGCAAGAAGAATGTACACTCCTGTTGAAACATTTCTCACTCCACGTGCCGATTTTAATCTACGCAGGAAACTGCTACACTAGGCGTAAATACCTCTGGAGTACAAATAAAATGAAGGAAAAAATTGAGGGGAATGTCGAGAGCAAACAAAAATAAATGTTAAAGTTTAATCCATCCTGGGCTGTCCCCAGGGACATGCACAGGTGTCTGGGACTCTTCATCGTCAAGTGGTTGTGGCTTTTGTTCTCCTCTTCTCTGGTCTGTTCGACGTGGTGCTTGTTGGAGAGGTAAACAGGAAGTTGGCTGCGTTGATGGCATGGGGCCCCATAAAAGCCAGAAGGTGGGTTAAAAGTCGAGGGGTCGGGGGCTGGAGAGGGCATCATTGTGACATACTTTTGTCGCACAATGGAATGAGATCGAGGTGTCTTCAACTGCATCGCTATTCTTGCCGTTTTTTTTTCCTCTCTGGACAACTCTCCGGGAAAATTTCTCATTCCCGGGAATACTCGATGTGCAATTCAGCAGGGAACCCGAAAAACGACCAACTGAATATTCGATTTTTCGTTATTACCGATTTATTTTCAAAACCATCGATTTTAGGGCGAAACTTTGGAGAACTTTTTTGTAGGTCATTTCATGTTCTAAAAAATCGATTTTTTGTCATTTTTTATTAAAATCAGTTTTTTTTCAGAATAATTGGTTTTAAAGACAATGTAAAATTCCTTTTATCTCATTTTATCACTTCTCTACAACAATAATAATAATTATTATTATTATTCGTTTTTTAAATAATATTCCGTGAAACTCTTTAGCTCTTGGAATTGTGAGACGAAATTTTCTGCAACTCATTAAATCCTCGACAAAAGGTACCTGAAATTGAGAGAACTTTACTGAAATGACGAAATATCTAGAAAACGGGCATTGATACCCAGAGAAAGTACGTTTTTATCCTCCACTCGATGAAAAATAAAATGACCTGGGGATTACTGGCTGAGTTCCACCTTGAGTACCAGTTGATCCCAGTTCGAACGATTGGGATTACATCGTAAAGAGCTGTTGGGGAATGGAGAAAACTCAAGCTGGGATAATCGTATTTCTATAAGTTGACCAATGGTTGTGTCACGTCCCACCGAGATTCGCCCCAGGACTGCGGAGTCAAGTTGGATGTACCACCCCAAATGTTTCCTTCGGGCACACGCGAAAAAAAAAAATTTCCAACAAAAAAAAAATCGAATTCACTGCGCTCCAATTGACATTCGTGTCGGTTATCACGAGTCAGGCGAGAGTGGACTCGATGCCAACCCTCGATTTCATTGCTATATCACTCGGTTTAATGGACCCATCGATTCGCATTGTGTTATGTCATCGATATCGGGATATTTCATTCGATATTGGTAAATAGGTCGTGGAAATTATTTTGATCTATCCAACGATTCGCTGCTGAAAGAAACGCGACTAGGAAGTTATCAGATCTCGACATGTTCATTTTTATTATTTACTGAGTTACTGGTGAGGAGAGGAATTTCGAAGTTCTCTAGGAATTCATTCATGACTCAATATTAATTCAGATTAATATTGAGAGAATTCAGATTAAAATTGCAGAGAATTTTGATATTCGTGGAATATTTTTGTCAATTTTATTAATTCCTGTCGATTTTCATGGAATTATTATGTGATTCACGTTTAATTATTTTTTTTATTCCCGATTTATTTAAAAATAATGAACAGAATAGAGTGTGAATAGCGAATAATGACCACTGAATGGCAAAAATAAGATTTTCATCATGAAGAAAAAATCGTAAATGACACTCTTTGGCGTTTGTAAAATGTCAATATCGATAGACCAAAGTCCCTGAGGACTAAAGTGGGAGGCTGGCTCCCGAGTGCGTTCAAGTGTATCAGACTACTCGGCCAGATAACGTATTTACAGCCCCCTCAAAGTGTTCCCGTCCAGGTTTCCATCGGTGTGATATACGTGTGCGTGAGCTGTTTGGCTGTATCAGGTCCTTCAATTTGTCAGGTCCATTCGGGCATCATCACACGATGGGATTAGAGGGTTACCACTCAAAACGTTTCACTCCAAAAAGCTACGTTAACAGATTGATAACGTACATGACGTATCTCCACTGCGATTTATCCCCAGAAGATTGACGAAAAATTTTGCTCTCACCGCATGACTCCATGACTCTCTGATTCATCCATCTCGTTGTATAATTAGCAATGATGAATAACCGGGAAGTGGACGTGCCACACATCTCATTCAATTTTCCACAGCGTCTCACCATTGCTCCGATTCATTTCCTCGGTGGTTGAACACTTGATGGCACATCCGGAACCTACGGGGGAGATTAATTCCAGCAGACAAGCTACTGCTGTTGATAAAGGGGATTTAGTTCATACCAGAGATATTCTCTTGTTGATTTTAAAAACAACTCTGATTCATTCACCTCTCGCAGAAGAATTCCATTCCAATTCACGAGAAAAAGTCTTTTGCATTAATAATTGAATAAAAATTCACAGCACATTTAATGATTAATGAAAAATTATTGAAAATTATGAATAAGGAAAATCCGTGCGATTATTGAATTAATTTCCTGGTAGAATAAAATAAATAAGAAAGTGATTTATCAGATTCCACGATTTTTTAAATTGACAGGAGAATATTCTCCTGCATCGAGCAAATCTTCTCCATCAAAGGTTCTTTTTTTTTCTCAGACATTGGTTTATTTCGTTGGCAATTTCGCGATCCAATTAGCGTTATTGCCCCGTGTATTTCGGCTTCATGTGTATTTTGTACTTTTACGATTGAGTCGAGCCACTCGCAGGTCCAATCTGGGGGCTAGACTCAGACTTTACGCCCCAAAAGTGGGACAATTAATTAATTAAATTAACGTGGAGTCCCTCCGAATTTCCCTCCCAGAGAGTTCTCATTGGATTTCACTGGTCCATTGAGACGTTGACGTCAGATTGAGTGATTCCTTTCGGATGGAAATTGTTGCATAATGGTATCGCCATCCTTCAGAAATCATCGAGGAATCGACAATAAATCCAAGAATAATTAACTCCCTGTCTCATTGTCCGCAATGTCCCTCGGATTTCCAATTGCACAAAACCCTCAGCCAATGAATTCTCGTATTTTCCCTCCCAGCGTAATGGAAATACTATGTGAAATACTCATGCTATTCTGCTCCACAGGTGCAGCTCGAAACGAAAGGAGGACAAGACGCGGCGGATTCGGTGACCCCTCGGCTGTGACAAGGAATAGATAGTCTAGGGACAATAACAATGCGTGAATATAAGATAGTTGTTTTGGGAAGTGGTGGTGTTGGCAAATCAGCCCTCACTGTTCAGTTTGTTCAGGGTATATTTGTTGAAAAGTATGACCCAACGATTGAGGACAGTTATCGAAAGCAGGTTGAGGTTGATGGACAGCAGTGTATGCTGGAGATCTTGGACACAGCCGGCACGGTAATTTTTTTCTTCGATTTATTCCATTATATTCTATGAACTTCCTTCTGTCAATGTCCAATAAATAATCGGACATTCGTTGAATGGAATTCTTTCCAAATTATCCCATTTCTATGTTCCATAAATATCGTAGATCTGGAATAATTATATTTATTATTCATCGATGGTTCTGGAGAACACGGAATTTTAACGAGTTTTTTTCATTTTCAAGGAACAATTCACAGCCATGAGGGACCTATACATGAAGAATGGCCAGGGTTTCGTTCTAGTTTATTCAATAACAGCCCAATCGACGTTTAACGATCTACAGGATCTCAGGGAACAAATATTACGGGTTAAGGACACGGACGATGTTCCAATGGTACTGGTCGGCAACAAGTGTGACCTGGAGGACGAGAGGGTAGTGGGAAAAGATCAGGGCGTTAACCTTGCACGACTATTCAACTGCGCCTTCATGGAGACCTCTGCCAAAGCTAAAATTAATGTTTATGACGTAAGTTGAATTTGTTATCGATCACTAGAGTTTCATCGGGTCGTTGAATATTCATAATTTTTTTTTAATTTTTCTCCGGCGAAAAAATAACGAAAAATTAACGAAAAAGTAACAAGTTCATTTAGCTGACATTTTCATTTTCGAGGATTAACTCAGAATCTGTGAGAGATACCGGAATCGTCTTCAGGACCGATTTTATAGACTGGAATGAGACCTGTAAAATAAGTCCTTACGATAATTTCGGTATTTTGAGTATAACAGGGTTGAATTTATATTCAAAAATGTTCTATCAATTTGTTCCAGGTGTTCTACGACCTCGTGCGACAAATCAATAAAAAATCCCCCGAAAAGAAGATGAAACAAAAAAAGAAATCGTTGTGCCTACTTCTGTAAGGTAGAGGCGGCCTTGGCCGCAAACCACCCGCGTGACAACCAACATTAAAACGAGAAAAAGAAAATCCAACAAGTAATCAAGAATAATAACTAAAAAAAAAAAAGGCCGAAGGATAGCAGTGGTGAATCAGGGGATAAGGCGGACATGTGAAGAGGATTTCACCACTGACACGAAATAATTGGGGTAAAGAAAAAAAGACAGCAAAACTACCAGAAACAAAAAATTTCAATCACAATGCAGAAAAAAAAATGAGACCAGCCGGAGAATGCACCCGAGGGCGATGAGAAATGAAGTAGAAAACGAGTGAGAGATTATTTGTTTTTCGTAGGGCAAGTTATCACGACGATAAATGTGGGGCGATTATAATTGTACATAAGTTTGTCCCGGGGTGGCTCATGTGCACGCGCAGTAGCGCACAAGAGGAAAATTTGAATTTAGCGGGGGGTAAAGGGATCATTCGGGGGCCTGAGATAAAAATCATTGACTGTCAGGGGTATACACCGGGAGATGATTTGATGATTCATTGTATTTAGGAATTTTAAAAAATAATGTTTGAAGGTGAATTTATGATGTTCGAATGTGCGCGTGCGCCGAGGCCACACCACCCCTCCCCCTCCTCCCACCCTTTTTTCCCCCCATTAATTCGCCGCGCACCTCTCTTACATAATATAATAATTATTATTATATAGACGGTACATACGATGATTATTAATTATCAAAGCATCAAAATATTCATAAGTTATCAAACCGTTTGTTTCCCAAAACAATATATGTTTTTCTATATCTTCTCCGTATTGAAGCAAATAATAAAATTCAGTAAATGTTGAAAATAGTCGTTGTGTTTATCAAATTATCATAATTATTAACAACTAATCAATGGAGAAAATTGGAGGGTTTCAGTGAGAGGTCAAGTGTTGAATTCCGATGAAAATTCTTGTTTTTCAGTTGTTAAATAATTTTTGAGGGCATCCAAGTAAAAAAAAAATCGCATTGTAGTCAATAAATAATAGGATTTTTTATATTTCAATTATGTCAACAATCCAACATTTTCTTAACTATCAATTCCCAGTGGGGATATTAAATAATTTTTGACAGCTGATGGAAATAAAATTTGTTCATTATTCATTGATATTATTTCGAAATAAATAATCACAGTACAATATTCCTAAGAATAATTGGATGCCCTCAGAATCAGTGAATCAACTAACATCTCCACCTCCAGTATCAATCTCAAAAAACATTAACCCCCGATAACGAATCAATGAAGCCCCACCCTAAAACATCCAACAAGACCAAGAGCCGCATAAATTCCAGTTCTCCACCAGTGCCCTCCAACATCAGCATAAGCTCCACTTGTGGCATTGCAGCACTGATTCATGGCCTCTTCAACGATAAACGGATAATAATCATTCCAAAAAGCGAGTGCCCTGTAGTCAATCTCATTAGCATTGATGCTGATAGTCCTATTGATAACAAGAATACCAGGTGTTTCTTCAGTGAATGGTTCCCACCTGACATTGAGTAAAGAAGGGCTTCCAGACCTGACGAAATTACCAATAAGCATCATAACGACGTCAGCGAGATTTTTATCACTGGTGGACCAGTTGATAGGACTGTTGGAGTTTGGAAAAACATGTGGAAGACCCCAGACGAAGGGAAGCTCAAACATGTGAGGTACACCAGCCCACAGAGGCACCTCCTGAATGACTCTTGGTGTTCTCGATCGATAATCAAAACGATAGACGAATGCACTCTCCTCTCTGGCGATTCTCGATGCCAGATAAGTCAATCCAGCTGCGTAATTCTTCTCCGTCTGGAGGCTGAGGTATCTGTCCCGGAAGGCAGCTGGATCAGCGGTGGGGGGATAGGGTCTATAAAAAAATAATACAGTATCAGCAACGAGCTGAGGCTTGGACTCGCAGCTGCTTGTGTTATCAGGTTTTTCCAGGGATGATATTATCTCATCAGTGATTACACTCTCGAATTTTGACGCTGACATTATACCCCCGTCGTCAGGGTTGTCTGACATGTCGATGTAGGCGAGTGCCAGTTCATTACTCGTGTACCCAGCCATCAGGGGTACAGCATTGACGTTACCAGAGTCAAGAAGATCCCTGGGATGCTGAGGGAGAAAAGGATCAGACGAGTTATTGGTGTCTGCGTCCACTATGGGACCCCAGGTCTCGATGTGAGAGGTGTGCAGGAGCAGGCCCTCAGGGGCAGCTGCTCTCAGGCACTCCATCAATCTCGACGTTGGTTTGGCAAAGCATGCCAGGTTGTGTGCAACCTCCTCCACAAGTGGCAGCTCTTGCTGTGCTGTTCTCACTGAGTTTATAGCATCTCCACTCATTGCTATGGCTTTTGAGAATTTTCCCCTGCTCAAGGGACTCACCAGGTGCAGACCAACACTTATTGCTCCTGAACTGTGCCCCGATATCACGATATTCCGGGAGGAACCCTCAAACAACTCAATGTTCCTCTTTGTCCAGGTAAGGGCTGCCACTTGGTCCAGCATCCCGTAGTTTCCTGGGGACTCGGCGTCACCTGTTGTGAAGAAACCGAAGATGTTTAGGCGGTAAGCCACTGTCACCACGAGAATCTGAAAAATAATGAACGCGGTTTTATAAGTAATTAATCATCGATTGAGTGATTATTAATTCGCTTTATGTCAGTGTTACCTTCTGCTTGTTAACCAGAGTCGTTGCGTCCCATATTGCGGGTGTTCCAGTGTTGAAATCACCACCATGGAACCACACCATCACCGGCCAGCCATCCTCAGGGGGTGGACCTGGAGCAAGTTGTCCTCAATTTATTAAATTTCCCCAAAACTCGTAATTAAACATGAGAATATTACAGGACTTTTCCATTGATCAATCAATCGCTCAATTAAATAAATTTGAAAACATCTCGCACATTAATTTTTTTTATTCAACACATTCATTCATCACATCATTAATTAATGATTATATTCGTTAAACAAGAGTGAGATATTAATTTTTTCATTCTATAATTCCACGTAAAATTCCACTGCCTAAATTTCACAATGACATGACATTTTCGAAAGAAAAAATGAAAAATCTCGTCTCCCCTTGACGAATATTACGAGGTTCCTCGAATGTAACATCTAAAGCTGAGTCATCGGTGGCGTAATAATTCAGTGATGACTCCATCATTAAAGCCCCAACAACCTGTCATCATCGCACCCCATTTGTATCACTTGAATCGTTCCCTCATCGACCCACACCTTTCTCCATCCCCTAATTGACACAAAAATACGTGGGAAAGTATTATTGGCGCTTTTTTCTCACGACCAAAAACCCATGAGGACACAGTCACCCTGGGCTTTCCCTGCCCCCCCAGGTAAATGGAAAAACTGACTTTTGGCTTCGTGACTCGCCTCCGTATCTCGACATCTCGGTGCGGCCCTAGAAGATCGCGTGCCACCCCCACAGGTGCACCAGTTACACTGTTACTTCCATTGTATATCGATCGGGCCCTCCTAAGGGCTCAAACGTCAATTATATTAGAAAAAATTTCTCCCTTCAGTGATTTCGATTATGTCCCCACACCCATTTTCAAAACATCCGCTCCATTCGGCTGAGAGGGGAATTATTTCCTTGAATTTCTTGGAGTTCAGTTTTTTTATAAAAGAATAAATAATCATGAATTATTTATTGAGGTGCATTATCGGGTGAGGTGTCCTGGGAGAGGTGGAATTTATTCTATTCGTTGAATCGGCCGCGGATTCAGGTCGTGACTTTTTTTTGTTATCGTTTTTATTTAAATTTTCCCTCACTGGGGCAATGATGAAAATCTCTGTCGCTGTGATTAGGGTCACGCGTTGGTGATTAACGAGGATTTTTTTTTTTATGTTGAAATTGAACAGGCTATTTCGATTTGCGTGATGCTTCCAGGAAAGTTTCGAAAATGAAAGTGACGCGTCAATTGGAGACTGCGAAAACATCGAAAGTTTTTTTTCTTTATTTCCCTCTAATATTATATGCGAAAATTAAACTATTTTTGGAATTTACGTGGGAGTTGAATAGACTGTTCATTTTTTGCCGGTCGTAAAGTGTTTCTTATCGGTTTCGAATTTAAAAAATGTCGCGGGAATTTTTTTCTGAGAAAGTGGAATAAAATTAAGAGCGCACAGAGAAAGGGAGAGAGAGAGTAACAAGCCGATTTAATTGATCAGTAAGTTTTTGACGAATATCTGCATAACCAAAGGAAATAGCGAAATTTTCGATAAGACCTTTTTTGTAGTTCTCTGTCAGTTCTGTAAATGAGGTCCTGACGAAAAAATCGAAATGTCCTTCAGATTCCGAGTTAGAGATATTCCTCGATAACACTCGACTGGGGAACGACCTGAAATGTTGATGAGAATTTTTTCGACGGAATTTTCCAGATTAATCCCCGATAGAGATTCACCTCAACATAACTTCCCCTAGAATTTCTGTGTCCTCAATATTTAATAACTCCCCCCTGACGCCAACTATTCCATAAACCCTCCAGGAATTCACGAAATTCCCTGGCATAAATAATCTGATGATTAGGATAACAATCGTCCTTGGAATAGTGCGAATTTCCATTTCTCGAAGATCAACATAAACATGACGAAATTACCATGATTACATCGATTTAGCTCATAAAATTTGAAGGGCAATAGCTCGAGCGGTCAGCTCTGTCGTCCAGGATTAATATCAGGCACCAAGTGGTGATAAGTCTGTCCCTTTGATATCGCAATGGAAAAGACGAGGAGCGACGGCTTTCAATTCCGTTTTCTTGATCTTGGTCACGCGATAACCCGGAGGATACTAAAATGTTATTCCAGGGAATCGTAAAATTTTAGGGAGGAAATTCTTGAGCTGGAGAATTATTCAGGGCAACGAGCTCAGGAAACTTGTCTCTCGTTGCTGCTAAAGTATGTCACGTGGACATCATCACAAATCAAGGACAACGCCGGATAATTATATACGCGAATTTCCGTGCGGCATAATTAAAAATCCCAGAATTCATTCTGCAGAAATTTTATTTGAAAACGAATTTAATTTTCTCTCGAGTCATTGGCATAATTAAAATAGATGCATAAAAACTGGTCGACAATTTTCGGATCATTTGTTAATAATTCCACCGAATTATTGATAATTACTGAATAATTAAGCGGTAATTGTCAAGTGAAAAATGAGATAAGTAGAATTTCGTGTTTTTATGATTAGAGAGTTATTTCGAAAACTATCGATTTTAAGAAGAAATGCTAGAGGACTTTTTTGCAACTGATTGGATTTCCGGGAAAAACGGTCTTTTCATATTTCTTCGTAAAATCAATAATTTCTCGGATAAGGCGATGTATTTCATTTTAGCAATATTAAATTTAATGATAACTTGAGTACCCACCATCTGGTACATAAAGATTCAGGTACAGGCAGTCCTCGCTGACCCCTGGCTCTTCGAAATCCTGTGGCAGGAGTTGTCGAAATAATTTCTCGTGCTTCATAAATTTTCGGGTCTGCTGACAGGATGGGGCGAATTGGGTGGCATTTCGGGTGTCACTCCAGGTCACGGGGGGGTCGGTCACAGGAGGTCTGAAGCGGAGATCTCCAACTGGAGGTTGGGCATAGGGAATCCCCAGGTAAACTGTCACCTTCTGAGGTCTAGCCAAAGGAATCTAGAAAAAAACCGGCAATAGAAACTCCACGAGAAGTCACAACATCATTAAATCAGAAACATCAAAACATTCATACCCCTGAGAACCGCCAAAATTACAGATATTGTGATATTTTCATAGAAACATTTTTTGCAGCTCTCATTCCCCTCTACAAAAGAGGTTCTACAAAAAAAAACGGTATGCCTCTTAGATCCAGAGATATCGGTAAAAAATTGACCGATTCTCCAAATCCCCTCGTTACCCTTCGCCCCTTCACTTTCACTTTTCGAACAATACCTCGGAATTCAATAGAGATATCGAATTTTTCGTTAAATCCTTTTTTATAGTCCTCACTCAACTCTCCAAAAAAGATCTTATGAGAAATTTCGCTATCCGCCTTGGATCAAGAGATATCCCATGACAACTCGATATTCGATCCTGAATCTACCCAGAGAAAATGTAGATAAAGAGGATTGCTGATGACGAGACTCTGAATGGCGTGTAAACAACAAAAATATTTTACCTCTCTACCTAAGATCGAGCCCTGATCAGGAATTTTAACAATCGGTGGATCTTTTCCTGCGCCCTGTCTCGCAATCGTCCTCTGGGAGCTCGTAACTCCAATGGCAATCACAACGAAAAACACTTGAAACCCCATCTTCAACTTTTGATACTTCATCCTGACTAGTATTTCGGAGGAGATTGCAATGCCCACAGTTCCACGAACCTTCTGCGGTTTGTAGTACTGCTTGCGTGACTCCAGCATTGCCCCAGACCTCCTCCAGGTTGTTGGAGACCTGCGCCCTAGGCTCTTCGAGTCTTCTGTCGGCTCTTATTGGTTTTGTTTTCCCCCTTTTTCGCTTGGAGTCACAATTTTTATCGTCTTAGCTGTGGATAAATCAAGGAAAGAAACCAATATACCCTGGGAAAGGTGCAGCACTCAAATTCGCGCAAGTTCGCGCCAGTTTTCATGACATTTCAGTGATTAATGAAGCAACTACTTGCTTCCGTGATTTTTGGGGGCTATCGCTTCTGAAGTCATCACTTCAGAAGGAAATCCTCCCTTTTTTCTGAATCATTACATTTATTTATCTGGACAATTCGATTTTTTCAGTATTTTGGGTTTTCAGGCCTTTGATCAATTCAAAGTCCTGAAATTACAGGAATTATTCCAAATTTTTTTATTTTTTAAATACAAAGTGAGAATAATTAATGAGCCAACTCCTTTCTGAAGTTATGACCTCATCAGTAATTCGCGTGAAATTGCAGGAATTATTCTGAATTTTCTAAATACCTCTGGCAAGGGCTTCATGTTCTGAATTTAATCTACAGTAATTGCATGTAGTACGATAGTTTCTTTAATTCCGATGTCTGCAGACGACTTCTGCTTCCTAAATATCATCAATCATTCCCAACTCAAGTTTTTCTACATTTTCGATGTAGTTCCCTCCTGAAACTCATTAATTAATTTTTTAATGACTGATGAATAAAAAATTGCAGAATCTGCGGGAATCGATATTTTTTTTAACAGTTAAATCTGAAGTTATTCGTCGTGCCTTGAAATTCGATCAATCATAGGAGCTTGAATAATGCTTGAATAATAAAATAGACCTTGAGAGAAAATTGTAACCTGGTGAACCCACGATGGAGAGCCGATAAAATCCTCGTCTTCACGCCACCCTTGACTCATCTCACTCCCCCCTGTGGTATAACTACCCCGACCTAGAACCGGTTCAAGATCATCGAGTGAACCAGCATTTTGGGGTCATTTGAATCACTTTACGACATAATTACTCGAGGATCGATTCACGATTCGATCTACCTGCTGGCTATTTTTTTCTTCCCTTCATCACATCAAAATCAGTTCAGACTAAAAGGGTTCAGAGTAAAAATATTTGACAAAAATTATTCCCTTGAATACTTCGTATATGATCATTATTTATTTATTTATAGATACAATTTTTTCCATTTTCTTTCATCTATTGAAGATTTTTTATGCAGTATTGACGGACTGCCACAATTATTCGAGCCTGAGGTGCGGCACCTTTTATGCAGATCGAAAGGAACTATCCCATTATTTGAAGGGTATGGAACGAACGGCGATTGAGGTCAGTGGTTTATCAGTCATGATTTATGTCACGATTAAATCACAACGTAACTCTTTGTTATCTTGACATTTCATTATTAAGGACGAGCTTTTGAATAAAATATCATAATCGTGAATGGAATGACCGGAACCGAGTAGTGATACGTAAAATTACGAGAGATCTAAAAAAATGAATGTCATTCATTTTTATCAATATATCATTTCAAATTTTAGCGCGAAAATAATGAATTTTAGGCTCCCCATAGAGTATCCCAAAGAGGATTGACTGAACGATGAATGTCGAAGAGGTATTCAATTTTTAAACGATATTTCGAATGATTAGTCATTTACAAAAAGAAAATAGGAATTATTTAAAAAAAAAAATGAATGTTGGCGGGATCGAACCCAAGCCGTCGGCGTGCTACCCAAGCACGTTACTTTTTTTTTTTGTTTAACCATGTTTTTATTCAAAATTTCCAAAAAATATTTACAGATATTTACAGTATATACAGCAAGAAAAAAAACAGGTACATAAAAAACTTTTGCTTAAGCTATCGGATTACCCAAGCACGTTACCGATTGGACAACGCGCTCATTGTAGGAATATAATTTCATTAGTAGTATATCTTCAATATATTGAATATTTTTTTCCATTGGAAATTCCACAAGATGTGGCTTCTCCCTTCCGCTCGTTCTACAGTCGGCTAAATCTTAGTTAAACAAATAAAAAACAAAAAGCATTCATACTGCTGAAAATCAAATTCACCCCGTCGATTTGATGATCACCCCAGCATTGCGTGTGGCGCCCTCCCTCTCTTAGGGTGCAGTACTACGATGCAGCTGGGGTCACTCAAACCCCCAGACCTGAGCCTGTGCTTTAGTCATCTCTTTGCATCTTTCCCTCGACTTGCAATTCTCAACACACACATTTATAAACAAGTACACAACCGCACCCACAACCCAATGAACTGATTGAATCACCGCGTGTTGTCTCCCCACCCAAAAAACAACGGAGCACTCCCCAAATATTTCCTTAACAACCAGTGGTACGAAGATGCACCAGAGCGTTTCGAATATTTCACGGGTGCACCATCAATCTGACGTTTGAGTATTTCAATCGGCGAAATGTTAACCTGTCATTCGAATCGACTCTGATACATCAGGATAACTTGAGTGTTGACTCAGGCCCATTGTTCACCTGTCAAGAATGCAGGGTGATTTCACCGAATCCAACGACTCCTGATTCAACTCATTCGCAATCGTTTATTCCAGCGTTTTCGTTAAGATGATCACACTCTGGGTGATTTTTATAACATGTGGAGGACTATCAGTTGCTCAGGATTATTTGGGGTGTTATAAGGAACCTCCAGGTGACTCCGACGCTTTTCCTGCATTAAATCGGGCTAGTGCACCAACAGAATGTGTTGCTGAATGCAAACGACATTATTATATGTGTGTATTTCAATTATTCAACCAGTTTTGTATTTTGTAAATGCAATTTATAAATAGAAATGAATCCTCAGGTACGCCGGATTGATGGCTGGCCAGCAGTGTTACTGCCTGAGCAGATACGGTCGTTCAGGCCCTTCGAATGGCTGCACAATTCCCTGCGCCACTGAGTCAACTTTATTCTGTGGGTCCCACGACTCCATCAGCATCTACTCCACCAGCCAGAAATCTTCCTCGCCTCCTCGCCACCTCCAGGTGACTAAAACGACCTCTTCCTCCCTGCACATCACCTGGGCACCACCAAACATTCCAAACGGCAACGTCACCTCCTACATAATTCGTGTGCACCCTATCGAGACGCACTCCCTTCGTCCACTGCTCCCAACCCAATCTCAGGTGCAGGGAGGCACCTCAGACAGTACAATCCTGGTGGGTCTGCACCCTGGCTCTCGCTACAACATCTCCATGACTGCCCTTAACCTCGAAGGGGAATCCGATCCCATCTCTATTCAGGAGTGGACATCCCTGGGTCCCCCCAATCCTCCAGAGACTCCAAAAATCCTGGAGAGAACCACCTCGACGATAACTGTAGAGCTGGCCAAGGGCTTCAGTGAAAACGGCCCCTTGACAGCCTATCAGGTCCTTGTGGTCTACCCTGGAACAATCCCCCCAACATTGCCCAACGAGTCCTACCCAAACTACTCAGAAGCCATCAGGGATAATATTCCCTACTACGCGACAGCTGAATTCGAAGCATCGGATTTCCAAAATTATCAGAAATTCGTTGTGGGCGATGGCAGGAAGTTAAACTCGTTTTACAACGCCCCCTTGGAGAAGCCCTTCGATGCTCCCCAGATTGGCCTCGTCACAATCTCCAGGACGAGAGTCTCCTCATTGCACAGCTGCTCAGATCTCACCGAGAACTTCATGATCTCCTCTCGATCCACAGGCAGTTCAACAATCGTTGCTCTGTGGGTGGCCATTGTGTTGTTGAGTCTTCTTCTAGCAGCCTCGATTTTCACTTATTTCGTCCTCAGGAGAAGATACGCTGGGAGGATGGGAAAACTCCCAGAGCAGCAGGAGCTCACTCTTCAGGGGCCCATGTACGAGGTCGATAATATGGCGTACATCCCTGAAGACATGCCAGAGAGACCCAATCATTATCAGGACTTGAAGAAGAAAGTCTGGAGCATTCCCAGAAATTTTCTCAATGTCGATCATCAGGTCCTCAGGAGAGGACGCTTTGGAACGATCCACAGGGGAACTGTTCAAGATAAAAATGGAGTTCTCTCTGATGCTATTGTTCATTCCATCTCCGATGGAAATCTCAGGCCCTCTGAGAAAAAGCACATGCTCAGGGATCTTGATGTCTGCATCAAAACTGGAAGCATGAAATATCTTGCTGGATTTGTGGGGAATTGTGAGACCCCGGAGACACTTTATGTCGTCCTCGAGGCGACTCCGGAGACCCTCAAGAGCAGATTATTGGCTGCCAGGGCTGGTCAGGTCTTTCCCTACGAGCAGATCCTGAATGTAGGCTCAGGAATCGCTCAGGGGTTGGCTTACCTCGAGGCCCACAAGGTCATCCACTCTCATCTATGTGCCAGGAGCATTGGCATCACCACAGACTATATTCCCAAGGTAAGGGCTCATCTTACTGCCTCTCTTTTTCTGTGTACAATTAATTAAATAATTGGCTATAATATCTAGATCGGGGGCTATGGTATTGGGAAGCACTCAATCGAAGACGTGAAGATGGCCAGGTGGACAGCACCTGAAAGATTTGGGCACAAAAAACACGTGGGGGGCGTCGTCTGGGCCTTTGCTGTTGTTGTCTGGGAGATGATGAGTATGGGGGGCACTCCCTACAGTGACCTTCAGGATGAGTGCGACGTCGAGGAGGCTGTAGTCGAGCAGGACGTCAGGCTCAAGCAGCTCAAGGATATGCCTGATCCTTTGTATGAGGTGTTAATGTCTTGTTGGATGATCGATCCTGAGGAAAGACCGACTTTCGACGAGCTTGCGAGACTGGTAAGAATTTTATTTACTCCATCTTCAGTAAATATTTTATTACTCATATTTATTTTCATTCATTTTTCTAATTCAATTTCATGCACAAATTTTACGATGTAATAGTTATTGCCCGAGTGGTTCATCTGGAAATTTAATAGAATATCTGAAAAATCGATAATTGATGAATTTATTTTAATTGAATTTCAGAACACATTGAGCATCTGTCCCATCACAGCCATCACAGAACCATACGTAGCGGAACTGGAATTGAATTAAAACTCGTTTCACCAGGAGTGGAAGAGACAGGAGAGAAGTGGTTTCTTTAGAAAATAATGGAGCTCTTGCTGCGTCTATTTTGTATCATATTTCCACCTGGTTTACAAGGTCATGTACCTCCAGACGTGCAGTTACCAAACAAATTTCGTTAACTTAAATTTTCGTTGGATTCGTATTTTCCGATTAATCACTAGATCTCTGAGCGATTTTTTTTTTATCCTTCTGGATTTTTCAGTTGTATATTGGAAGCTCAAACAATTATTTCCGTCCACTTTACTTAATTACTTTTAATTAATTCTTTACATTTTTTAATGTAATTATCATTTTTATTGATTCTCTCATGAGAAAGTAGGGTAAATGTTTTATATTTTTTTAATACTGACGCAGGGGTTTTTATTCAATCAATTGTATTTATTGAACAATAACAGTCACTTTTTTTCATCGAAATTCTCACGCATCACATGAGTGCTTTCATGTAGTTGAGATTATTTTATAATCACCAGAGTACAAAACATTTTGGTAGCTATCGATCAATGGAAAGAACAGAGCTAAGGGTGAATTAATATCTAAAATTCGAAGCAGTTAATGAATATGAATTATTCGAGAATTGGTCCCGATAATTATAAAAATTGGAAAATATTTCAATACTTTTTTACAATAAAAAAGAATTGCTGATGTAGTTTAATATCATTGTGATATTTTCACATGCATGGATTAATCAAGTCTTAAAGCTGAACTGAAAGTAGTATTTCAATCCTATCTATATTTTTTAATGCCCTAAAAATACACAAGATAGAATAATCTTCAATCGAGAATATTCACTCCACTCTGTACACAAAATATTTACATTATTTTTCAGATTGAATTCCCACCTCCTGGAGTCTCCATCCCTCAGTCCCATCACTCCACGCCTCTAAATACTAATTATTCAGGAAGCTAATTGAAGCTTGTGATAAGAAATGGCAAGTCATTTTAGCTAACAGGTGCGTTTTTTTTAAATACCTCCAAATCTAGGGGCGATACCAACATTTTCATGAGACTCTTTTTTGTAGCTCTAGTTCCGATCTACAAAATTCATTCAGTGGAAAATTTTGCTATCTCCCTTAGATTCAGAGACATGTCCCTTTCATTCCGAAATTCCAAAAAAATCAGTCTGAAAAAATTATTTAAAAATCCATCACTGGATTTGGGGAGCTGAGGCTTTGCTGGAGTGGGAGCAAGTGGGTCTAGCCCCAGGGACATTAGTGGTGCTGGTGATTGGACACAGAATTTGCCTGTAAGCCTCTCTGTACAGTTTATTAGTCCCAGCGTAAATGAATGGATTAACGACTGACGAGGCCCATGCGAGGATAGACCCAATCACATGGACAACTGGTGCCTTGAACTCGATGACGTTAACGAGCATTAGTGGAAAAAAACAGAGGAGGAAACACAGAAAAATAGTGAGCATTAGCCTGGTGACTCTCGAGTCCTCTCTCTTCTGGAATCCAGTACTCCTTCGTGGCCCTGCGTGTGCCTCCAATTTTTTTCGACTCTCTCTGACCTTCCAGTAGATGCAGAGATATGATACTGTGATCACAACGCATGGCACGATGAAACCGATGATGAAGAGCATCTTCTTGGGACTTTTCCCATTCTTCTTCAGGATTGTACACGAAAATGTTCCAGGATCGTGTCCCAGTCGTCCCCAGATACCGGTAAGTGGAGGAAGTAATAGTGAAAAACTCACAACCCAAATTGCAATCAGCATTAAAGTTATTCCTCGATTTGTGTAGATTCTCGGGTAAACGTCGGGCTTTGATATCAGAACGTATCTGGAAATGAGAGAATCTTATTTTTACTTTTTCAATTATTATTTTATTTGCGTTCTGCACTCATTTAACTAAATACCAAGATCAGAATAAATCCAAATGATTTTATGGTGCGACGATGAAAATCACTGGTCTATAAAAATTTAGTCATGAGTCAGTGAAACTTGTGAGTCATAAATCACAAATAGACAAGGGAATGGTCATAGGATATTTTTCATAGGTCCCTGCTAATTATTTTTAATTATTGTCCTGATTATTCTCACCTGTTTAATGTTATCGCAACCATACTGAGCAATGATACCGCAACATTTCCGTAGAAAAATACGGGAAATATCTGGCACAATGTGTCCCCTAGAATCCACGCCTCGTGCAAGTATCTGCTCGCTGTCAGAGGCAGATTAACAGCTGCGAAGATCAGGTCTGAGATACTGAGACTTATGACGAATGCTGTTGTTGCATTGCGCCGCAAGCGAGCAAATTTTAAGAGTGCTATTACAGTTACCAAGTTTCCTGAAACAATTTCCGGGATATTTATATCAATGATGTTTACCAATTTTCAATAACTATGATTAAATTGGGAATTTATTGTTGATATTTTTTTATTAGTAATCTATAATATCCGAAATGCAAAGACGAGTTTAATTATTCCGTAAAAAAATACTGGAAAGCCTGAAATTTCCCGGAAATGAATCGTTAAATGCCAGATTACAATTCCTGCAATTTACGTATTTATGAGACAACTGATTTTCTTTAAAGAAATGAAATGAGATCAGACCGGAAGGATTTGGTTTTACCCTAGAAAATCGTCTCAATCTCGATGACTGGCATTCTCACTGTAATTGACGTTCAGTACGAGACTCTAATAATAATCCGTCTAACCGGAAATAAACGTGCAATTAAGGGGTGATGAAAAATAGTACAGTGTCAACTTAATTTCGAGAAGATTAGTCGACTCCCAGTGAGTGAAATGACCGACTAATTGACCACTTCTCATGTCTGTTTTCTCGAATATGCGAGAACTTAATTGACGTAATTCCGGGGGTTCACCAAAGGGTGGGAAGTTTGCTATAGATTTACTCGGGCAGAAGTGCGCCCAGGAGTTCAAAGATCGAGTGAAATATTTCAGGGGGAATTGAACGCGTGGAAATGCTTTCTGATAAGATTACAGACTGAGGGGAGATCAAAGGAAACTTATAGTTTTCTCTTAAAGTAACGCGAAGTCCATGAACTCGCAGTAAAAAAAAACTAATCAATCAATTGAACCCCGGTGACCACTAAAAAAAAAAACAAGTGGTCAATTTTCCGAAAATATTATTTTCGGCAAAAACCTCCGGATCGAAACGAAATATCTCAATTTTTCATAAAACATTTCCCGTAGATCTATAAGAGACAGCAAAAATATTGTGAGAACTTTTTTTCGGGTCTCGTTCCGCTCTTCAAGTGAGGTCTTATGAAAAATTGAGCTATCTGAATTAAATTCAGAGATATTCCCGAAAAACCTGCGGATTGTATCGAGAATTCTTACCAAGAACCCCAACGACGCTGAAGAGAATCGCACAGACCGCGGCGATGATAGTGAGAGGTCTTGAAAATTGTCTCTCGAATCCTCCCTCCTGCATAATCGTCACATCCGTGCCATTCATCATCACAACTTCTCAATAACCCCACGAAAAAGTCCCCCCTATCACTCAGCGATTTCAACCGTTTTCTTCAACATGTGTTGCCCAACTGATTCACATGCAGAGTCTCTCTTATTCACTTTTCTCTTATTGCAAATCGATAAAAACGCACGTCACACGCACATTACTTATAATCCCCATCGATCCAGGAATAGAAATTCAATTGAAAAACCGGAAAACGTGCTCGAGAGACCCAATATCGAATCCTCAGATCGAAAATACTCGATAGCCATCAACATTCACCGGGTGTTGGCAATTTGAGAATTTCTGTATTAGCAAATAGCTATTGTCATTTGCCGTTTGTTCACTGGACGTATCACTGGATGTATCACTGGTTCACTCAGTGGAACTGTTCTGGATTCAGTGGTTTCTTACGCACGTCTGGCTCCTCTACTTTTGCCGATACGCACTGAAGACTTCTTATCTTTCACCACTCGAATTAGCCGTTCTCCTTCCCTCTCGTCTATGTTTTATTTGCTCTCCTTCGTCTCTGCCACATGGGAGCTCATTTTTTTTTTATTATTTATTTTTCAATGAACCCTTCTGCAGGGCCGATATACTCTGGGCCACCAATCTCGTGGAAAACCACTTCCGTTCGCCGAGTTTTTATGAACGTTTATTTTTCTCGGTTAAAAGCCTTTCCTGTTTGTTGATTCTTCTCTGAAAATGTCGCAAAGTGTCAGGGAAAAGATCAGAGAAATGTTTGAGCTTCGGTGACACGTCACTGGGTTTTAGCAAAAAAAAAACGAATTGTAATGAAACTTCATTAATTGTTGCTTGAATTTTTCTCACTAATTCGAGATCTCAGGAAATTTTTACGATCTCCATGAACAATTAATCATTAATTACTTCAATCAAAATTTATTAACAAAAAATGCACATTATTATTATTTAAATAAAATTTCAATTCCAATCATTCACTGCAATTAAAATTCACACGATAATCGATATGAATTCAGTATTCATTAATATTTATATCAATATGAATTTTCATTATCAAAATTTGATATTTTTAATGAATTTCCGAATAATTTCAAGTTTTGTTTTTGATTTTTGTTATTACTTATTGTTTAGCTGTTCCACTATTTTTCAAAATGTTTTTTTCCCCAGAAGATGTGTAGTTCAACGCAGTCACCATGCGACTGCCCTTTCGGCCTTTTTCCCCCGGCATTGTATCACCGTTTGGAAAAGGTGTGCCAGAGGCAACTGGTGAACAGCTGGCCAACCCCAACGCGATTTACCTCCCTCCATGGTTTTAGTGAACAATTGAGTAAGCAACACCTCTCAATAGGATATAAGCATTTCGCCAGTTTATGAGGCGTTTGATCCCTAGGGTAGACTTTTTCAATTGCAGCTGTCGAAAAACCGCGAATTTGGGGTACATGAGGGCAGAAAGTTAGAAAATCATTCCCACCACAATTCTCTTCGTTAGAGTGTAATTGTGTAAAGGCATTCACATGAGATATCCGATTTTTTTGCTGCATTCGTCGTTAAAATTTCTCTTAAAATTGCTGGGCAGGATTTTAATTACTCCTCCACCCCAGCAATGATCAATTAATATTGTCAATTAAATTCCATCAGTTGCGGTCAATCGAACTCAATTAATCCCATTCAAGGCGAATGCAATTTGCCCCATCGAAATCTCAAAACGTGAGTCTGAAAGAATTTCTCCTAGAGATAAATATTGATTTTACAGAAAATACTGGAGTCGTGAATCAACCGCAGATACATGTCGGCTAATTACGCTGTACGCGAGGAATTAATAAACGTCTCCCTTATCTCCCTGTCTAAAAAACCAACAATGAATTCTCTTTGATCTCGTACTCTGAATGCCCCAATATTCTCTAAATCATTTTAAATCCTACAAAAACAGAAACTTAAGAAGAAACTCAAGAATTCCCTAACGCCGCGTGAAAATGCCAAATATCTCCGAATCTAAGGGAGACCTCAAAATTTTTGATCATACCTTTTCTTTAGCTCTCAACTTGCTCTACAGAAAAGGTAATAATGTAAATTCCGGGATCTCCCCCCGATTCGGAGTTATTGGCGCCGAAACTCATTCCAAAATTAAAGTCGAATTGAAAGATCTTTCGGTTCGTTACTGAATTAGAAATGTAATTCACAAATAAATAAATCCGTCAGCAGTACATAAAGCTCTAGGAACTGCCAGAGCCCTCGGAAGCTCCAGCAAAATAAACAAAACTCCTCATCCCAAACGAAAATTAAACTTTCCCCTGTTTATTTCTCATCAATTAACTCCTGAATATTTTTGAATAATTCATCGAAAAATTGAAAAGACCCCGGTATAATTAAAAACTCTTTGTTGGTCCCGTTTGAGAACCGTCATTGAATGTTGAATGAGCTCATTGTTCAGCCCTCGCTACTCCATTTGAATTTAACAGTGAATGCCATTCACAGGATCCACACGCTCTTCAACTACCGAAAAAAGGGCCTCTCGAGAAAATAAAAGTTGGGGGAAGTTGTGAGAATAATTCAGCCTCTTTCATCTTGATGTCTTCCAGGTGTCTGATAAAATCTATAAAGATATGAACACCAGAAATTTATGCCACTGTTTAATTCCCAGGAGTTATCACCGCGTTATCACGACTTCCGGTGTACCAGAAACATTATCGTAGCCTGCAAGCTGCGAGTTCAAGATGATATTTATTTAAAACAAAAACAAATTGAAAAAATTGAAAACCTCTCGTCCATCAGTGAATACTCGTTTTCCGAATTTTTATTCAAGATCTTTTTATTCATTTTCTATTTTTATATAAATTGTAACAAATTTCATTCAATTCATTTCTCAAAGTCAGAAATATTGAGTAATTATAATAAAATCAGTAGTCGAATGGTCGGGAATGAGTCGACGTGTGGAGAAATAATAGAAAATAGAAAATTTCTCGACATTTCCAGTAGATTCCAGTAGATCTCCGAAAAAAACAACTAGCTCCAAATTTCTCTAAAAATTCCCGTGATTGTTCAAAAACTCCGGACTTCTATTAATTTTTTCAATACAGATTAATTCGACTCGATAATTGTCACATACCACCCGTCCCACCTCTCCATTTTAAGTAAATAGAAATTATGCAATTATAAATTCTGATACAATTCAACTTCAAAACAACGGCTATTGAATCGCGTAAATCCTCCAATAAAAGTTAAAACTCTTACAAATAACATAAATGTATATACAGAACGCGAAAAACTGCGTTTTCCCACACAGAAAAAAATATATTCCAAAAAATGTTCAAAGAATGAAAATATTTAAAATTGGCCCAATTCATATTTCAAAAAATGCACAAAATATATGTATTACACATATTTCAAACGGATACTTAAAAAATACAAGTAATTACCATACAATACATTTTAAAAAATATTTTTCGATGGGAGTATTTCTCAAACTGAAAATCGATCATGAATTTTTGGTAACGAGTGACACTCGCCTTTATGGCACAGATTTATGAATTTCGTGCCGAAAATAATCTCCAGACTCTACGCGGTGCAGTCCCTGTAGGTCTGGGCTTTCTTCTCAATCTCTCCCAGTTGTTTTTCCATTTCTGCAGTGAGTGCATCAACCTGTCCCATGAGATCACTGAGGAGTCTGTCATTGTCCCTGTAGACGCTCTCCATTCCATCCAAATCCTTGAACTTAGTGGTGGTATCAGCCGTGAGTTCAGACGCCCTTTGGAGCAGCCTCTTTGCCCTCTCGATGTCCCCTCTGCTCTTGGTCACTCGATTATTGAGAGAATCCCCAGCTCCCTTGTACTCTGTCCCCAGCTTCTGGGTCTTCTCGTCGACGGCTTTTGCGTCGTCAGCGAGAGTGAGCAGCTCCTTTCGAATCTCCTGATTAAGTACAAAATCATTTCGCACAGACTGAGTCTGCAGTTGTTTGAGACGCGCCTCCAGGGCATCCACAGCAGCTGTGGTGTTTGCTGCCTTCTTCTGGGCCTCTTTTGTCACCTCTCCCACGTCCTGGAGATCCTTCTCAGAGAGGGCGATGTCTCGCTCTGCTTTCTCGATGGCGTCTGCAGCCTCTTCTTGAGCCTTTTGGGTTTCAGTCAGCAAATTCACGACCTGGGGTGCAATAAATTAAAAACAGATTATAATCCAGGATATTTACCGGGAACATTCTATTTGTTTTTGATCCCTCACCTTGCCCGCTTGATTCTGCTTGTCGATCGCAGATTGCTTAGCCATGTTGGCCCTTTGCTCAAGCTCCTGTGCCATCCTGAGATCTCCAGCGGTATCAGTAAGAATTTTATCTGAATCTGTCAGAGACACTATGATACTGTCAATCTTGTCTGCGAGCTCTCTGATCTCGTCAGGCCTCAAATGAATATTCTCCCTGAGAACCTCTTCAGCGAGGTCTCGAACCATCATTGGGGTGGGCTGATCCTCATTCAAGATCATTATGGTCCTGTCGTTGATCTCGGCCAGGGCCTTGGCAACTCGGTCTGACTTGTTACGAGCATCCAGAGCAAAATTGAATGCATCCTGGGCATTTCCTCTTGCTGCACCTGCATCCTGCTTCAGATCCATCATCTAAAATTCATTTTAAAAATCCAGTTAGTCCAGTAAAATCCAATTGCAATTCACAATGACGCTTGACAGTCCTACCTTTTGTAAAAGTCCTTCAGCAGTGTCTTTATGATTTCTGATCTTCTCAGCTTGTCGTTTAGCAACATCGAGAGCCTGACTGGCCTTGGTGACAGCCCCAGCCTCGCAGGAGATGCCCCCGCAGATGCCGCAGCCAGCCCCTCCGCAGACACTGCTGCACTCTGTAACATTATCCCCACACATTCCCAGATTGAGTCCTGGAATCTCCTTCTCAAGTCCTGAGATCCTCTCGTTCATTCTCTCGATGGATGCCATACTCTTCTCCTGTGCCTCATTGACGTTCGCACTGTTTTTCATCAAAAGATTCTCGGTGTTCTTTCGATACCTCTCAGCATCAGCGAGAACGTTATTGGAGTCGTTGGCGAGTTTTTCAGCGAGCCTGGACTGCTCAGCCATTTGATGAGTGACATTGAGAGCTCCCTGGACATTAGCCTCCTGGAGTCTCGTGGCGTCCTCCTTGAGGAGGGCAGCCCCCTGGTGCAGACTGTTGGTTCTGTTCTTTAATTTTTTCAGAGCAACATCACCCAGATTCACCCTCTGGCTGACATTCTCCAGCTGATTCTCCACTTCCTCCAGGGCCTTCGTCGAGGATGAAACATTTATCGCCAATTTTTCTGCATAATCATTCAATTCGTCCAGATCCTGACTCCTCACTGTTGTGTTGTCGATCAGTCCTCGCACCTGATCCAGGGACTCCAGCATTTTATCGAACTGCTGACTGTAGACACCAGTTGTACCCACCTTCTGGATTCTCGAGGCCTCCTCGATCACCAGATCTGTCTTATTTCGTAACCCATCGAGAATTAGATCCCAATTATCGAAGCACTCGCCGCAGGGGCTGCAGTGGGGAGCTGTGCCGATGTAACTCCTGTCGCACTGATCACATTTTTCACCTCCGATGCCTTTGTGACAGACGCAGACACCTGTGTCACGATCGCATTGCGCTGACGAGGAACCAATGACATCGCAGTCACAGGGATAGCACTGGACATTCGGATTGCCCCAGAAATTAGCCTGACACTCGTTGCAACGACGACCTCCAAATCCTGACCGACACTCGCATGTGCCATCGTAGGGGTTGCACCTAGAGGAAATTAATAATTTCCATTTATTTAAATCTGATCAAATTAATAATAATAATTCCCCATGAAAATAACTCAACAACTCACTTGTCCGATACACTTCCGACGGCATCACACTCGCAGGGATCGCATCCCTGTCCACTGGCAATCCTCCAGTAGTTCTCCTGGCACCTGTCGCAGAGCTGTCCAATGACATTAGGAAGACAGGGACACTGTCCCGTCCTGTGATCACACGGCCCAGCAGCAATGTCAGTCCCCAGGACGTTGCACATGCAGTCCTGACAGTTTTTCTCCAATGCATTCCCATAAAAACCAGGTTTGCACTGCTGGCAATTGGCACCAGCAGTATCATACAGACACTGCAGACAACGCCCGGTGTACGGATCACAATTGCCGGGTCTCGATAAATCAGTGTTATTGCTGCAGTCGCAGGCTGTGCACTGGCCGCCGACTTCCTCGGGATTCCCGAAGTAATTCTCAGCGCAATTCTCACAACGTGCTCCAGAGTAGCCCTGGAAGCACTCGCAGATTACATCGTGGGTGATGGGATCCAGAGAGCAGCTGTCGGCGTAGGCGTGACCAGAGTCGATGGTACCTGGAGAAGAATTTTCAATTCAACGAATTGCTTCAGGATAAATTCGTATAAAAACTCACCTGGACATGGACAAGCCCTGCAGGGGATGTCGACACCGATCCTCGGATCCCCATAGAATGTATCGATGCACCTGTCGCAGTTGTGGCCAGTGGTCCAGTCCCTGCAGTTATCACACGCTCCTGTGGACGAGTCACAGCTGTCAGCGTGACCATTGCACTCGCATCTCCTGCAATGTGGGAAATTCCAGAATCCTGGCTCACACTGGCCACAGGTTCTGCCATAAGTGTTGGGTCTGCACTTGCAGCGTCCTGTGTCGACGTCGCAGAAGTTGTCGAGGGCACCAACTGCATTGCAGTCACAGGGAATGCATCCATTTGGACCAAAACCGTATGTACCAGGTGCACAACGATCACAACGACGACCGACGACATTTGGTTTGCAGGGGCAGACTCCTCCGTAGTGCTCGCATAGAAGACTATGAGATCCCGTTGGATTGCACTCGCAAGAGTGAGCACCATCGAACACCCAGTAACCGATGCTGCTGTGATAAGGAGCACAAATATCATTTTCATCTCGTTGGTATGGAGTGACACTGTCAAAAATCTCGTTACACCGATATCTCTCGTATTCCCTCCTCCTCAATTCATTGGGCCCTTCACCATTGAAGAATGGAATTGAATCGATCCTCGGTCTGAGAACAATCGAGTCGATGAGAATACTAGCTGTTGGGGTTTCTGTGTGTGGATCGAATCTCCTGAATGACAGCAGCAACTTGTAGACTTTGCCAGCCTCGAAGCAGACCGAGGGATTGGCAACAGCACTGCGTGAATTATCAGGCAATTGCAGCCACAATCTGTCGTCCTCGGGTCTCCATCCAGCGCATGGACCCTGAGGATCGACTGGACCATCTCGTGTGATCAGTATCTCCACTTCCTGCCATACTCCAGGATGCACTGGCTCATAGCGCACTATTATATCGTACATCATTGATCTCCTGATGTCGTCGATTGTGAAATTCATCGTCGATGATTCCACAGCTTTCATGAAACCAGTACCAGTCCAGGTGTTATTTCTACCGTCTCTGTAGGGCTCTCTGATTACCACTTGGCAGTTGTCGCTGGCACGTGCCAGTTCAGCCTCGTAAATCAAAAAGTCCAGTGAGCCGGTGTAATAGCTTTGCTCAGGCTGATTACATGTTCTGCCACCAACGTGGGGTCTGCATCGACACTGACCAGTGACAACGTCGCAGGTCGACTCGTAGGAGCCACCAGGATCACAATCGCAGGGCTTGCAGCCGTCGTGATCGTCCGAGAGGCCCCAGTACTCCGGTAAACACTGATTGCAATCACGTGCTGTTACATAACGCTTGCAAGTGCACTCACCAGTCATCTGATTGCAGCCCTGATTGTCGATTGTTCCCAGGGGATTGCAGGTGCAGGCTTGACAGCCGTCTGGATTATTAGGATCAAAATTCCAGAAGCCGTTCTTGCAGCGGTCGCATCGGCGACCCTCGATGTTCGATTTGCAGTGGCAACGCCCGGATTCTTCTCCACTCAATATATCAGTTCTCGAGTCGCAGATACCATCGTCGAGAGAGCCCCCAGGATCACAATCACAAGGTTGACAAGCATCGGGATGGGAAATATTCTTCGTTAGATCGTGATAGAAGAACGGTTTGCACTGCTCGCAGTTCTGGCCTCTGGTGTTGTGTTGGCAGTCGTCGCAAACACCTCCGGAGACTCTTCCAGATCTTTCGTAGACAGCTTCATCGAAGTGACAGGAGTTGGCGTGTTCATTGCAATTGCACTTTCTGCAGGCATTCGTTTGCTTGCCAACGGCAGGCTTCCACGGTCCGTCGTTGTAGAGATCCTGACAGATTTCGCAGTTGAGTCCCTTCGTGTTGTGAGTGCACTCACACCTTCCGTGAACCATTTCCTCTTCGTTGAGGACTCCGGGGAGCTCCAGGCAGGCTGAGGCATGCCCGTAGCAAGAGCATGAACCTCTGATCACCATATCCTGCACAGCGTAGTAGTACTTCTCTCTGATCTCGGCTCGGTCGTCAAGAAGATCATCTCCAAGAGTGTGCAGCTTTGTGAAATTTATTCTGAGATTTGTCACCTTCATCAGGTTCTGCACCTCCTTCGAATACGGATTGTCGATAACTGATTGCAGATTTGGGGGGAGAACTCGGAAGATTATTTCACCACCTGATGATGGAGCAACGTAGGAGTAACGTGACTCGCAGATCACGTCGGAGAGCTTCCTGGGAACGTGCGTTGGAACACCTGGAAATGACTGCTCGCAATTGTGAGCGAAATACCTGTACACCTGCCAGGTTTTACCGAAATCGTGGGAACGCTCGATCAGCATCGCTGCTGGTCGAAATGTTTGAAAACGAATGATCATGTGAGTCAAATGAAACTCAGCCTCCAAGGAAAAATCAATCGTCACGTTCTCCACACCGTTCTCAGCTTGCCACCAGGAGTTCTTTGATAATCTGTTTTTGGAGGAATTCATTGATCAATTCGGCTTGAAAGTATTTTTTTTCGAGAGGCGTCCCTTTAAACTCACCCTCCAACAATATTCGTAATATTGTGCTGCAATTTGAAAGATGCGGCATCACAGAAGAAGCACTTCTTCCTCTCCTTCAGGTGAGAGACAATGCAGTATCTCTCTGGTGCCACAAGACCACAAGTCGAGGATGCCTTCAGTTTGTCTTTCCTTCCAATTAATAAATTCCCAGTGGCTGGATAACACGAGCTTTGCTCACAGGGATGTCTCCTCTTAGCATAAGGACCTGCATCCAATAGTTAATCAATGAAGATCATCAGGGGTTCCACCAGAAAATCTCATTACGAAGCAACTGATTTTTTTTAACAATTTTTCTACTATTAGTAGTGGTGAACGTGCAATTTATCGAGGGTGTCTCCAACCACAACCATGGATTAATACAATTTTTCACTTTTTCTACTACAAGACTACCTCTGACTCGTGAGAATATTCTCATCGGCCCTGGATATGCTATTCCATCCACTGATGGAATGTCTCCTCGTTGGATTGGCCCTACAACACCCCTTCATTTTTATTCCAATCCCTAGAAATCTCTCTTTTCTCGACCTTTTTTCTATTTTTTTTTCTCCCATCGTCTCCTCCTCTATCAAATTAATTAATCATTCATCAATTAATTAAATCATTCGTACCTCTGATTGCCGTTCGGCTCGGGTCCCTAGAGTACTGCCCATTGCTGAAATCTGGGGAAAAAAAATATGATTTTTATAAAATGACTTGTGGAGGTTTTTCAAATCAAATGCAATTCAAAGGAAATTAAAAAATTCCTGAATTTTGCGGGAGATTTAAGTGAAAAAATCGAAATCGAATTTTTTAGGAATTTCTCTCGTTTTTAGGAAATATTCGGAGAATTTCCAGACGCCAGATTTCCTCCCCATCATTTCCTCTCCCTTCATCTAATCGCGGAGCAAAGCGGATGTTTGTGATGATTTCTGTTCTCCTCGTGCTCGGAGATATCGAAATAGTCTAATCAGTTGTGACGAAAGTATTTCGGTGAAGTCACTGATGAACGCCTATGATATCTCACCCATTAAAAAATCCTCTCAACGCCCCATTGAACGGAATAAATCCATTTATCAATAAGTTCATTCATTCGCTAATTAATTCGTCTCCTCGATAACGAATTATTACGAATGATATCTATCTCGCCGCAGAGAATCTTTTCACGAAAAAATTCCCGACTCCAGCAATCAGTCTTGTAATTAATCGGGGGAACCCCCAATTCTAGGGATTAATATTCAAATCCTTAATATGCATTATCATCACGTGTAAATCACGCCAATTATCAAATAAAATATAAAATATAAAATACTTCCCTTGAACACAATTAATTGCTCAGTAGAAAGTGTTTTCAATTCATTTTGGTATTGAATTAAATAAATCTTTCGATGAATTTTGTGTTGATGAATCGATTATGAATCGATTATATTTGAAAAAGGGGAGAAATTTTTTTTTCAGGAATGAGTGAGGGTTTTGGGGTTTGAATAATTATGGAAATGGGGAATAATGGTTGGGGAATCAATGGAATTATTTGAGATATCGATTACGTTACGGATCCCTTGGGCCCATGTGGGTTTTTTTTTTTTTTGGGGCAGAGATGTTAACATCTCAGCGGAAGACGCGGGTCAAGGGGTCGATGGGCTATCTAATCACAACTGGATAAAGACAGTTCTTGTTGAGAGGATAACGAGTGGAAAGTAGGCTGTCTCTGGGGTATATCTCAATGGAGCTTTTTTCGATACAGGCTCTCCTCGATGGAACAAACGATCCCATGAAAATTCATTAATGAAAATTAATAGCACTTACCTGTGCAAATCGAGAGGAAAAGCAGCACCGTGATGGTGCTCAGAATTTTATACTTCATTTTGAAAATATCCAGGCGAGTGGTGGATGATGATCTTGCCCATTAACACCGCGCCATTTATCTGAAATTTTGAGAATTGATCGTTAAAAAATTCTAATGCAATATGTAAACAAAATTTTGAGTTGATTGGAATTAGAAAAAATATTTTAATGTCTCTTTTTTATGGTAGACCTCCAATTTTTATGGTAGACCTCCAATTTTTTTTTTTAAACTCGAGCTGCAGCTGTCATTTTGTTAGAAAAGCTCTCAAAAAATCGTGATCAGGCATTTCACCACTGATTTCCGAAAGCCAAGCTCTCAAAACCCTGAGCACTGGTGGAGTCACATTTTGATTGAATTTAAATCCACAAAAATCGAAAACAAACTGAAAATTCACTGCGCCACAGGTATGCAACTGCACCGATTCCATCACGATTCTTATCTCCCTATCACCTGTGAGCCTCTCCCACCCCACACTCTGAGAAAACCCCAAAATATCGAGGGGAAATTCCCGGAAAATTCCAGCACAGCCCTGAACCAAGGGGACGCAAAGTAGCAACAGAAAAATAACCGGAGCTGTGATTTTTCCTAGTTAAAAAAAAAACGCACGGAATAAAATAAAAATGAATTCACTAGAATTTTTCTTCCCCGTTATTTAGTAGTCTCTGGCATTTTCCGAGTGTTGAAAATAGAAAATGGAAAAATGAAAAATGAGACGCTGAGTGAAAATGCCTTGACGTTCTCGAGTCAGGGAAAACACGCGGGTATAATTTCCCCAGGGTCGCAATATTAAATAAAAAAATAATTAACACACACTTGAAGCTCTGGCAGACGAGAAATTTTTCCCTGGAGTGCTCCAAAAATTGATAACAAAATAAATCCCAGAATTTGGGGAGATTGGGACGCGCACTTCTGCAGCCAGCAGCAGCTCCGGACACTCTTCAACTTCCACAATCTCTCTGAATCTTTCTGTACACGAGTTTTGTAGTGTGCGGCGCTTGTACTCTCTGCCGGCGACCAAGTGAGTGAATAAAGAAGAAAAAAAAACGAGTAAAAAATAGAGAGGAGATGGAGACGTGGGGGGACAATGTGGGAGGGATTAAATCTCTGGGTTCATGTGTGGAGACGAGGAATATTTAAATCTCGTCGGGGATTCAAATTTTTTACCGCCCTTTTTCCCTCGTCATCCGCGAAATTTCAAGGCAATTTATCCATTTTCCTATTTACCTAATAAATTTATTTCATCGAATTTTAATTCCAATTTTTTTCAAAACTGAAACTTAAAAAAATAATAATAATGAGCATTTTTTTATTTAGAAAATAAATTGTGAGGGGAAATAAAACATTTGATATTATTGAATTTTTATCATAATCGAACTCATTGGGATTGAAAATAGGGAATAAAAATTGAACGTAAAAATAATGAAATCTCGTTTGAGACTTAATTTCTCGGTGTGGGTCCATAAAATTTTGTGAAATGGGGAGGGGGCAATTGCGGGTCATTGAAGGAAGAGGTATGGCCCTCAGGTATGCCCTTCCAGGAACTTACGAATGGGCCTTTCAGTCATGACCAGATGTTCGGAGATATTTAGGGAACACCAGAACTCTTATTCCGACTCAGACCGAAATACAATTTCCATTCAAGTTTCAGTTGTTCCATTATATTTTTAGGATTCATCAGGCACCACGAGAGATCACGAGGAAATTACACCGGATAGATTGCGTTGGAACTCCAAACAAGGGCGGAATTGAAAAGCCTCAGTGCATGGAGTAATGAGTAATGAGTAATGACCCCGCGACGTCTGCGTGGGTGTGAAATACTCGGTCTCCAATTCATTTCTAACTCTCAATTCCATCAATTACTCTTCTATTTTCCAAAAAATCTCATTAAATCTATTCCAAAATTTCATTGATCCCCGAAAAGTCAGAGGCAGTTGACGAATCCGGAGTGTCTGGAAAAAATTCTGTGAAAAAATGACTGGAAAATATTCCTGGCAATTAATTGATCGCATAATTAAAAATCTAAGTACTTAAAAATTTTGGAATCCCCAGTGAACAAGAAATTGTGATCATTTTTTTTAATAAATATTTTAATCGATTTCTTCGTTTGTCGCTGGGTCGTTGCCTTCGAATGCAGGACGACTGTTGACCGAATAAGGAATTGCTGGAGTTGCACGTACATTTTATGCAGCTCGTGATACAATAGATGTGGATTTATTTGATACGAGGAAAATATTCTCTCGCTGTGATGCCCTGAATTTTTTGGGTCTTCAAATCGCTATGACACTGAGACAAAAAGTCTGAAACTCTGAAAGTCTGAAAAAAATTTCGATTCTACTAATTTTAATTAGCAATCAGATCTGAAATAACAATTCCGTTAATCAATTAGATTCTTCATCTCCATGAGCTAATGAATGAACTATAGAAGTGAAATGATTTCATTTTCTCAGGACGAGAATAAAATGATTTATCAGAAATAAAAAATTTCAATCGTTCTGCTCTATTGAAAATACCTAGCAGACAATTTCCAGACGAGAGAAAATATGCAAGTGATGTGTAATTGAAGTCTCTGGGTGTGGGAGTTCCTGAAGGTATATTACACTTCAATTGTCTTGTAGGAGACACCCGTTATAGCGGTCATGTCCACACGTGTGGAACACTTGCACTCCTCTTTTTCCTCATCTTCCTCTGGTTGAGGAATGGTACGAGTTTCCAGCATTGAAGCTTATCTTCGTGGGTTCTGGGAACCTTGGGGGACCTTTTCAACGTATACTTGACCCTTATCTGCTTTCCAGCGATCACTCCTCATTTTTTCAACTAAATTCCGAAATTGTCTATCAAATCAAATAATTTTATAATAAATAATATCATTATCATCTTAATTTTCTTATCAATGGTTATTCCTATCGACATCACAGGAATTTTTATTTCAATTCCTGGAAATAATAAATAAAAGAAGAAATCGATACGAATTGAAATTATGGGGATGGGGAATGGGGGATGGAAAATGGGGAAAAGGGAAAAGGGAAAAAGGAAAAGGGAAAAAGGAAAAGGGAAAAGGAAAAGGGAAAAGGGAAAATTATAGGAAATAGTAATTAAATATGAATATAATAAATTTATAATGAAAGTTCTTTAATTTTCGAAGCAGAAAAATTGTTCAAAGTTTTTTAATTTTCATTCTATAATTACTGACAATGAAAGAGGAAATGTGGATACGAGTTTGGATTGTGTAAAAGGAAGGAAGAGTCGTGGGCCGTTATCTGTACCCCCGGTAAGATAAAAATGCCATTGCCTCCTACAATTCTCGTCCCTCATTTCAGCTTTAATTTTTGTCACGCTCCACTGGACCATCATCTGCATGACCAACCACGTGCACCCGAGACAATATCTCCACTCAAATAAAAAAAACAATTGTAACGCTTTCAACATTCATTTTATTTTATCATAATTATAATTACATAATTCATAACGTTTTGGTATATCTCACCGATTCTTCAGTTAAAATGTATTATTTGTTGTCTAGGCTTCAACATTTTGATTATTTATTGAGATTGAACTGTAGTATTAAATTGAAAAATATTAACATTTTGAATAATTTAAACAAGCAATGGAATTATTATTTATGCTGGCTCGTTTGACTGCTGGTAATGCAGTGGCCTAGGGCACTATTTAGATTATTTTAGTAGCCAAATGGTAAAATTAGGTGAACCGATTTTTTTTTGCGGTTGACGGAAATTATTTATTTGGAAACTATCGATTTTAAGGGAAAATATCGTAATGACTTTTTTGATCGGGAAGTTCAGGTGAGATATTGGGGAAGAAAAAGTCCCTCGAATTTTTCCCTGAAGCCGAGAGCGTTCGAAATAAATCGGCAAAGTTGAAATAAAAATTAATTATATAATTTTCACCCAAAAAACGATAAAAAATCGTGAAAGGGATTGTTCTTCAGGCTCGGAATTTATTGGATAATTTATTGGATTGACTAATTATCGATGTAATTGATAATTAATAGAAATATTGAATTCGACTTTTGTCATTTTAAAATTTAAAAATCTGATATTTCGATTTTGAGGGGTCAATATATTTGAGAATTGATCTCAAATAGATTTGACTGATCAATAAATTTTCTGCGATGAAAGTTCAATTGGAGGGAAAAAATAAAATGACTGTGACTTGAAGCCAGAGGAAGGGACATCGGACGGCGACGACACGTTCGTTTCCCAAACTCATGCGATATATTCGCGATATTATTTTTTAAATATATTCGGCGAAGCATATCCAGTAGGTGACGTTGAGTGCGGTGAAGAGAAAAGGGAAGAATACCCGAGAGAAACGATCGATGTTGAGGGCTCGGAGTCTGGCTCGTTGGGCTGGGGTTGGACCTGTCGGTGGTAGTGTCGCCGGTTTCTGGGGGCGTCCGGACAGCAGCATGGCATTTTCCTGCGTGAGAATAATGACTCTTTGCTCCGGAAAATTATCAAAAGCTCCTTCTGCACCTCTGAATTAATCCTCCGGAATTTTCAATTAATTCACTTGCATCAAAACTCGATTCAATTAATTGAATGAATAGAAATTGAATAAAAATTCAATAACAATTCAATAAAAATTCAATAAAAATTCAATAAAAATTCAATAAAAAGTGAATAAAAATTCAATAAAAATTCAATAAAAATTCAATAAAAATTGAATAAAAATTCAATAAAAATTCAATAAAAATTGAATAAAAATTGAATAAAAATTCAATAAAAATAGAATAAAAAATTGACTTGAATCAATTGACACGATTGCATAAACTTCCATGATTTACTCAGAGGTTCAGAAGTAGAATGCGAAGAATCTTAATTCAAGCGTTTTACCTTAGTCGCGATATCGAAAATTTTATCGAGCTTAGTGTCACCAGTCCCCGTAGAAGTTGTTGCCTTCGGTGGTGTCTGTTTGGGTGGTTTCTTGAAGGCAGCAGGGGCATCCGAGTCCCCCAGTACAATGTTAACGAGACAGTACTCCATGAGTGCCATGAACACAAAAATTGTGCAAACTGACATGAACGCGTCGACGGCTTTCAGGTAGGAAACGGGTGGCAGGGATGCCTGACTCTTGGCGTGCTGCGTCGAGAGGGTGAGTAGGGACGTCACCCCGAGGGTCACCCGAGCTGGTGCCGCCTCTGGTTTTATCCAGAATGACACCCACTGATATTTTTTTTATCAAAATTCCAGCATTACAACTCACTCAATCAATCGCTGTTAAATTTTCACTATTTCGCGAAATTATTTTTAACAGTAAGCAAGAAAAATATTTTATTTTATTACCATTTCTTGGAATACTCACTGACATTATAACAATTAAACACGTGGGCACGTATGTGTGAAAAAGATAGTATCCGAGGCGCCGTTTCAACACGAAAATCACCTCGAGACACGTAAAATTGCCTGAAACAAGTGGTTTATCTTAATTTTTGAACATTTTCAGTGGGAAAGTCGTTTTGAAAAAATTCTATTGACTGCTTATTCGTGCGAGTGATATGAGAGGAATTTCACCTGTGGAGTAAACCTGAGTGCAATCAGCTGTGTAGTTTTTAACGAGAGCCAATTGCGGCAATTCGATATTTTCGTCGACAACGAGGGGCACATCGGGGTCCCACTGGAAGATCATCTCATCCGTCGTGTGCGACACTAATAAAAAATAATTTATTTAACGAACAACACAGTCTAAATCTCGAATGCATCCACTCAGGGACTCTGCTGTCTATTGATTTTCACTTGAGGCAAAACTGCTGTCTAAAGTCAGCAGAAACGATGAATTATTTTTAGCTGAGTTTTTAAATAATCCAATTATCGAGTAATCACGGGATACTCACGACTCTCCATTTGTAGTTTACATTCCTGAGTGTCGTGGGGATAAATCAGGAAATTCATGGCGCAGGATAGTCTCAGGGTGAGTCTGGAAGAGAATATTCGGGATTTGAGATTTCAGGTAATTCTCGAGGCATAATTACTCACTTCACCATGTACAAAATTGTTTTGTCTTTGTACAACCATAAGTAATGATTTGGTATCGTCATTGTCTGGAATGTCACGGATTTCGCGTTCTTGAAGAAGGAATCTGGCCTCCACATCTGCTTCAGCCAGTCCACCTCCAACAATCTGTGTTAATCCAAATTTTTTCTTAATCATCATTAAATAATTCACTTTAAATTGGAATTAACGGCCCACTGAAAAGCCCCTCCCACCCCTGATCTCTAATTTTTTTCATAAATCAAAATAAATTAATGATTAATGTAATAACACTATTGGAAATATAAATTAATTATCCTGTGATGCAGTTATTGAAGATAAATTAATTGAGTTAATTGAAGGATTTACCTATATTCTGAAGTCATGTTCTCTGGAAGTCTGAGTCTATTGTCCTTCCACGTTTGAGCGAAGAAGATGTCCGCGGCGTAGGTCTGAGGACAGGCATTGCAATTGAGAATGAGAATTTCAATTGCAAAGGGATGTAATTACCATTGAAGTCTCATCGATGGAGTCGAGCCCCATGACTGTGACGTGGAAGTACACGACTGTCGCCTGTCCGTCCTTCTTCGGAGGTCTCATCTTGTCGTAGAGCTTTGGATCCTCTGGCAGAAGCTCGTGGAACTCCAGACTCTCCCTGAAATCTCGAATTTTTCGATTAGTCTTCACACCGCGAAAAAATGATGATCAGAATTCCAAAGCAGCACTTATTTCATTGAAAATTCTAGTGCAAGCCATTTAATTTTTCTATGACCGACACTTTACGCCTCTTTTACACTGATGTACTGGAATTTTTAATTGCACTTGACAGTAATTATTTTTCATTCAGAATAAATTCAGGTGTGGAATTTTGGAAGAAATTGTGAGAAATTTGTGGAGCACTTTTTTTTTCTTTTTTGTTGTTTTTTAAAAGGAAGTGTGTATGAAGAAATTTAATGGATTTTTAATTAAACATTGAATTCTTAATCAACTTGGATGAATTAATTTATATTGTGACGTCGATGAGTTTTTTTTACTTTTTCACAGAAGTCACTTCTCACTCGCAGAATTCTACCAGAAGCTCATGCCCCTGATTTACCACTCCACTCCTGAATTTTCCGAATGAAAAACAAGAAATAGTTTAAACAAACTGACAAGGAATTTTCCTCGAAATCTCAAGATAATAATTTTAACCAGAATTCTACTGCAATAAGAATTCCTGTAGCTTTTTCACTCTGAATCCGCGATAAATGCGAAAAATTTCCAGAAAAATCCCAGATGAACCTACACATAATTGATAACATAAACCAATATGATGATAAGAACAATAAACTTGGAATTGGCAAAAACGCCGTGTTGCGAGGTGCTCGCCATCACCCAGTGTCTCAATAAAACTCAACGCATTTTCACACGATTAAATCCACAGGATGAAAAAACGGCGAAAGCACAAGTGCCCTCGGATTGAGTTGAATATTCCGCGACTAGGTGAGCGAACAACTGATGTTCGCCACGAAAATTTGCAGAAGTTGCAGAAGTTGCAGAAAATGGTAGGTGGTGGGAGGCCTAGGAGAAGGGATTGAGAGGGTGAGGAAGTTGGATATTTTCATCCCCTCGGTCTCGTCGAAACGCCAATGGTGACAGTTGGAGATAAGCAGGGGTTGGTTGTCTTCCAGACGTGGAGAACTGATAGATCCAACAAAAGGATGGCGGAGGGTGGGGGCCTAGGGCTTTTCAAAGTGGTGAAATCCCTCTGGAGTCTGACGGCTACCCTCGACCCCCTACCAATTTACTCCAATGCAGTATCGTGCTACATTTGTCTCAATTCTTCTCTCAACGAGACCTCTCATTACACCCAACTACTTTTACATCATTTCTTCACATATTCAACTCGATGAATTTATTATTTATTATTATTCAATATTTTTTTATTACTAGAGGAATAATCTTCCCATTTTTTACATTTTTCGAT